TCTGAGACCCGAAAGCTGACAACTTCTTTGCGTCCAGGAGGCTGCTCCGGGTGACTTTGTGTTGTCACCATGCCACGAAACAAATACATTGAATTACATCGCAAAAGCTATGGCTACCATTTAGATTACCATGAGAAAAAGAGAAAGAAGGAAAGTCGGGAGGTTCATGAACGGACAAAGAGGCAAAAAGGTGACTGGTCTGAAGGCTAAGCTCTGTCATCAACAGCCATGCTGAGAAAATGCAAATGAAAAAGGCTACCGAGATGCACGAGATGCACGGAAAGAGGAACGCCAAACAGAAGGATGACGAAAACACCCACAAGGAGCAGCTCCTGCCTGTCTGCTGGACAGAGAAGGACGGCCCCGAGCTAAAGTACTTTCCAATACGATTAAACAAAAACGGAAAGAGGAGGCGGGAAAGTGGGAAGTCCCTCTACCCGAAGTTCGAGCCCAGGGAGAAACGGAAGTATTAAAAGTTATTCGAACAAGAAAGAGGAAGCAGGCATGGGAGAGGATGGTTCAGGAGCCTGCTTTGTTGGAGACGCTTTACCAGAAACCACCTAAATAGGAACGATGCATTAGGCCCACGGGCTTAGGTTTCAAGGAGGCCCACGTAACATCCTGAGCTGAACGCCGCCCTTTGCCCGCCCATACTCGGTGTGAAGGAGACTCCCTCAGCCCCACTGTGTACAACTCGGGTGTCACCACCAAAGGTACTGTCACTGAGGTGAACGTGAGCGAGATGGGCCTTGTGACACAGGAGGCAAGGCTCTGTGGGGAGATGTGCCCACGTTCCCAGCAGTCCTGAAAACGGTGGCTGCATAAACGCCGCCATACTGGTTTGATCGCACAGTGACTCCTTGTAAGGATTTTTTTTGTTTTGGAGAGGTTTTTGCTACAGGGCACGTGCGCTCGCCAGACAAACAGACAGACAGAGAGACAGAAAGCGAGAAATCACCCCCCAGGGGGGATGGCCACACCGCAATCCCTTCTCCTCCATTCTCCTGGGATCTTGGGCACACACGCACACACGCCCCGCGTGAGTTTTAAGCTACCGGGTCCGGGACTCGAACCGCGGTCGACTACATGGGAGTCTAGCGACATAGCCATTACGCTAACTGTTGGTCCCACTCCTTGTAAATTTTGAAGATGATACACCAACCTGGAAAACCGCCATGACTGATGTTTCTGAATATACCTGGTTTTACGTGTCTGCAGTCATCAAAAGATCATTTATTAAATTGTACAAAAATATTAAAGTAGTCTGGTTTTACAAAAAAAAAAAACGCTGTTGTGCTCATGCTCAGAGTTTATTACAGTAAAAGGACACAGATCAAAGTCAGGCAAGATTGGATGTTAAGAAGAGGAGAGGCAAAGTGCAGCAGACCCAGCGACGGGGCTGAGGAGGTCTGCAACCAGGTCTCCGAGCCCTGGAACGTAGGGCGTGGCCTAGCGCTGAGGGCTCTGAATAAAAAAGCAAAAACTCATATGTATTTATAGCATGGATATACAGCATTATTAGAGTAAATGTCATACATTCTATGTCACAGATCTTGTTAGAATAAAAATTTCCCCAAACAGTATCT